CTCTAATGAGTTCTTGATTTTGGCTTTTGAGTCAGCAAAATGTATTTAGCCGTATATAGTTGGAAACGATCTTACTATTGCACATAATTTGAGGATAAATGAACAAACCTCTAATTGTTCTTGGAGATGTTGTCCCACTTCATCTTGCAATCTCATCAACTCTTTGATTCTTGAACCCTTCATATGAACTTCCTCTTCTTTGAATCTTGTTCCTGCATACTAATTTAACAAAAGTAAAAAGGAGAATTACTTTATGATCAACTAGTGCTTAGTTTTGGATCAATGAGTTAATCAGTAATTTTAACAATATATAAAACCTAGGACTTGATTACCTTGCATGGAATCTTGAACATGTTTCAGCGATTGATATTTCTGATTTGGATAGATACAAAGGAGATTAGGTTAGAATGAATCATATGCATATAAAAATAATGTTGTACTCACCTGAAGGTGGCTCTTAACATGCTAGATGGTCAATCCATGTTTTCTCATTAGCTTCAAGATCCCCTTTGGTGTCGCTTCTACGAGTTTAAGAATCAATTGGAAAATAAAGGGTAAATAATCATATGCTTTGTTCATTCACGAAATCTATATTTTTGTATGTATATGTATGAATATGATGAGAGATCATACTCATGGGGTCACCTAGGTGATTGACACACTCAACAAACTTGTCGTGAAGATCTGTTGTCAAATTGATCCTTGTTTTAGTGGAAGATGAGCTTGTAAACTCAATTGCGGATTCGCAACTTGAAGACTTCGCTGATAGTTGTTCCTTCTGAGACCATGAACCTCAGTTATAACTCATTCTATCTATACAAATAAATACAAGTTCAATAGTACATTCTCTCCCATAAATTGGTTTAACTCTACGCCCAACTTATAATAAAAATCTCTTAAAATTTCCCCAACAGATAATGGACCTAAGATCTGGAACTCCTAAGCGTCATCAATCAAAGCTAACATATTAACATAACCAAGTATATTTACTTTTTATTGTGGTTAAAACAAAAAAAGGAAATCAAGGAAGAAAATTGTATATATACCGTTGAAAACTGTATTTCCACACAGTCTACAGATTGCTTTGAATGCGGCGAAGTAGTCTGTTTTGTATCGGTTGAAAAAATTTCGGAGATATCGTATCATTTGCGGCAATGAATTACGTGTTTGGAGCTTCCATATGAAGAATCATTATTATCCGATGCTTGTCTTCTTCCAAACTTCATTCGATCTCTACTTTTTCTTTTAATGGTGAATCCTTTTTATATAATACAAAAGTCACATAAGTTTTGGATCCAAGATGTGTTTGTCTTATCTGTTAAAGGCGTTGGATGTTTAAGGATAGCCACCAAATGAAGTAGAATAGAGTATATAGAGCTTCACCGCGAAATAATAAACGACTTATAATAATTGAGAGGTCATGTAAGATAAGTAATAGTTATATATCGAGTGACGACATTGTTACACACCAATGGTGAAACTTCCATAACGGGACACTTATATTCCATGTTGTCAGCTCCTAAAATATTTCTCTCATGACAGCTCCTCAAACTGTCATGAGAGAAATATTTTAACATTTACATGTATATAATGCCGATAGTAAAACTTAAATTTTAATTAACTTGTCCAATTGGAAACTTCAAAAACAAACAATAAACCTCAACAAGGAGTTTTATTGAACTAATTATTTTAATTGATTTGAATATTTAAACAATTTTTATGTTATTTGATCATTGATTTTTTTTAAAGAAAAACTGATATTTGTTTAAGGATTTTAAACTACTAGTTAGAATTCGATATTATTTAATATTTTATTTCTCATTGAATTTTAAAAGAATTGAGCTCTCACGAATTTTTTTCATAAATTTGGAAGTGTTTTCAAATTTTTTTTTTAAAACTCAAATATAAAGATAAATCATTCTTTTCTGGGATCATATGATTGCGGTGGCATTCACTAGAATGAATATTCAACAAAACTTTGTTCAGTTACAAATTATTGCCACTTTCATTTACAACAGAGAATGGCCACATTTTGTTTTTGTTTTTTGAGCAATGACTACTTTTTCTATTTATTAAAAGAAGACCCCAAATACCACACAACCTGACAGACTTATAGTCTACGACTCTACGTGATGTTTTTCTTTTGAACTTGTCTACGTGATGATTTAGATATTAGTTTTATATTTTACCTTTAAAATGGAAATTTTACATTTTAAAACGTTGTAAGTAGTCTAATGATTGTTTGTAGCATTTTTTCAATAAGTTATAAGAATCATAGATGAAAAATGGAAAACAAAATATTGCATATTTATATTCTTATAGATTTATCTTCCCAATATTATTAATAAAATTTTAATTCTTTTGAAAAAGTAAAAAACGGTTTTTTTATTTTTGTCGTCTTTTATCATTTTTTTTCAGTGGGGTCCAATGGCCATTTTTACCTCACAAAGGAGGTTGCCTAGGATCGAACCTAGGAGGTGAGAAAGCAGAGGTGAAAGACCACTGTCCCACTTGCCCGGTCTCTCCAAGTTAAACATCAAGGATGCTCTATGGTTTCTCCCCTCTTGATTTGTTTCCTTGCTGCATCTTCCTGTTCTTTACCCTCATGGTTTATAGTTTTAGGAATAATTCCAGACTCAGATTTGTTATCTCTCTTTTTTTTTTCTTTTGATATGTATAATCTATGACAATGCTTATGTTCTGCCTTTTGGTGGATAACTTCTCGGGGATGACATGGTAATCATTAAATGTCGAACATTAACATGATTGTTGTCTTCGTCTAATGAGCTAATGGCCAAAGTCTTGGTCTTTGTGAATTTCGATCAAACATGGTGGGTTCAAAAGCAATTGTATCCATTGCAACACTTAAGTACCTTATGACAAAACAAGATGCGAGATCCTATAGTAATCAAGGGATGTTTTCATCTTTTCGGATATTATACACTGCCACACTAAATATTCAAAAACATAGAAGATTAGACCAAAAAGTAGTGAATAATAATCTTAGAAACAAAAACCAAAGTATAAATCAAATCCATGAGAAGAAATGTTTACTCAAAAATAAATCGTAGAATAAGAGGCCTTTAATGATTACCAAGAGTAAAAAAGCTAGAGCTACGGTGGTCATCCAAATTTTTATTGAATTACAGTCAAGAAACTTGCATACATTGCCAACGAAGGCTTGAATTTGCATCGTCCTAGATTTAACTCTTAAAATATATATGCGTCTCTTTCTCTCTTCCTTTACTTTGTTCCACCTGGGATTTTATTGCCGCAGTTTGTACAAGTCTATCTTACGTTCTCAAAGGCATAATTTTTTTTTTTTAACTCCTTACAAATGCTTCCAACGAGTGTGATGATTTGAGCTCAAGCGATGGTTAGAAATTTGGAACATAAGCCTAAACTATTTAAACACTGACATTGTCATAGATTAAGAGAAAAAAAAAAGAGGATAACAAATCAAGAGGGAAGGAACCATAGAGCATCCTTGGGGTTTAAGCTGGAGAGACCCGGAAGCGTTTGAAGGTCTTTGTTGCAAGATTGTACACAAAGATGTTGAGGCTCTACGTTTCTTGCTCGATCATCGCGGGTGAAATAGATGGAGTTTGGCTCGATACCAAGGGTACGGTCAGCAGGCACACCGAAAGTTACGTACGGTGGAGGTTGGTTGAAGAAAACACGACTTATTTGACAGGGCCTCATCACCTAGAGAATCAACCTCAACAAGATCCATGTCGAGAATGGGGTCTTGATTAGGATCCCTCTTGAAGAGACGGAAGATCCTATGCCTTGGAGAAGTTGAGTCCTCGGAAGCATGGCTACGGACCAACAAAACGTCTCCAGATGTTGTGACACTAATGTTCTTGCTATCTGAGATGGGCTTAGTTAGTTTCTCAATCCGAAGTGGCGGATTCATTGAAGAGACGATTACAAAAAAGTCATAAAAACTCACTTCTAAATACAAAAAAGTTTCAAAGCATTTTTCAAATACAAATATGTCACTTGCAAAATATCCTTACTTTTCGTCTGTCATTGCATTTAATACTCTGCATTAAATGATTCTGCTTTATGTCATATCTGAGAGCCCACGTACACTATCGTGTGTTTCATGTACGTACACTATCAAAATACCTACATTAAATATTTTGGCTTTATGTCATATATGCGAACACACGTACAATACTATTGTGTGCTTCATGTACATACACTATCAAATACGAAACTCGTACATCTATAATTGAAAGTACAAGAACAGTAAACAATATGCACATACGAATATCATACACACTCGATGTACAATAGGTATTTACGTG